TTGTCAATCGCGAGAGAAAAGCGTGTAAATCAAAATACTATACGACCCAGGTTCACAGTAAAGAAAAAGATAACCCTAAAACTTGGTGGAGTGAAATCAAACGCCTAGGAGGAATGAAATCAATGAATAGCTCCCTAATAAATTTGATAAATATCGCTGGTCTTGAAGATATATCGGAACAAGAACTAGCAAACAGAATAAATACAGCTTTTCTTGAACCCTTATCAGAATATCAACTATCTTCACCGTTAGAGCGACTTAACTTAGAGGAAAACCCAGATTTCTTAGAAGTTTCTGAAGAAAGGGTTTTATCACAGCTACAAAAACTCAACCCCAGTAAAAGTGGTGGCCCTGACGAAGTGCCCAATTGGCTCTTGCGAGAGTATGCTGTAATCCTTGCCCTCCCAATTAGTCTACTCCTAAATGCATCCTACAACCAACAACGCCTACCTGCAATATGGAAACTTGCGAATGTTTCACCGCTGCCAAAAGTAAAAATAGTACAGGACCTGAAAAAAGAACTTAGGCCCATTTCATTAACACCTAATATTCCGAAGGTTGCAGAGCATTTCGTTGTTAATGATTATGTGAAACCAGCTGTTTTGAAGAAAATTGACCCCAATCAGTATGGAGCAATTCCTAAATCATCGACGATTTTTGCTCTTCTTAGTATGGTGCATAACTGGACCTCCGGGCTTGACGGTACCGGTTCTACAACTAGAATCATTCTATTCGATTACCAAAAAGCTTTTGATCTAATTGATCACAGAATTTTGTTCAATAAACTACTTCAGTTAGATCTACCACGAAGTGTTATAAATTGGATTATTGATTTCTTAAGTAACAGATTCCAAAGAGTCAAACTTTCACAAGGATGTTTTTCAAATTGGGGTGCAGTACCTTCGGGCGTCCCTCAAGGCACCATTTTAGGTCCATGGTTCTTTTTAATCCTGATAAATGATTTATCTATCACAGATACTGACTTATGGAAATACGTGGACGATACGACAGTATCGGAAACAGTTGACAAAAACCAACAGAGTAGAGCACAGACAATTGCTAATGAGATGTCACAATGGTCCCAAAACAATAAAATGAAGCTGAATGAAGAGAAATGTAAAGAACTCCGTATTTCCTTCTCAAAAGTCCCTCGTGATTTTAACCCGATACTTATTAACAATAAAAGTATTAGAGTCGTAAAATCCATTAAACTTCTGGGCTTGTCATTCGATAATAACCTGACGTGGAATCTACATATCGAAGAGGTAGTTAAAAAAGTATCCAAACGAATCTATTACCTGATCCAACCCAAACGGGCCAGTATTCCTCGGAATGATCTGGTTCTATTTTATGTTACATGTATTCGATCTGTTATCGACTATGGTATCCCTGTCATTTACTATTCGTTGCCAAAATACTTGCGTTCCGAATTGGAAAGATTACAAAAAAGAGCTATTAGAATCATCTGTCCAAACACTAATTACGAAGACGCTTTAATTAGTTGTGGTCTGGAGTCACTGTCTGTTCATCATGAAAATATTTGTACTAGTTTATTTCAAACAGTAGTTGCTGATGAAAATCATAAGTTACGAAGTTTACTGCCACCTACACATACTTCTTTTTATGATTTAAGAACCGATAGGAAATTTGAAATTCCTAGATGTAACACTAATCGTTTTCAAACTAGTTTTTTTTGTGGCTTCGTGCCGCAAATCATTTATCTAATGCTATTGAAATGACCTAATATTTTTAATAATTTTAAATTTTTTAGTATATTAAAGTAATAAACATCTTGTATATATAATATTTATATGGAATGTCATCATAATGGCTTGATAAACTCTTCTTTTATATTCTCGTAATTAGTTAAATTTACTTGAAAAAAAATACGCAATTCAGCCTATGGCTGCGAAGTATTTTATTAAATCTATCTATCTATCTATCTATCTATCTATCTATCTATCTATCTATCTATCTATCTATCTATCTATCTATCTATCTATCTATCTATCTATCTATCTATCTATCTATCTATCTATCTATCTATCTATCTATCTATCTATCTAGCTGATCACAGCTTCATGGCTGTAACGCAGCCACGCAATGGCAATGACAAATAGGCTACATAAGCCAGCAGGGTTCTTGTTCGCACTTTATATAACTGAATCAGTGTAGCAATTCATTGCATTATTAGCTTTTACTCCTTTAAATTCGGCCGGTAAACTACAATGACAAATAGAAAACAGCAGGGTTCTTTCGCACACGTGCCATGTATCGTAGAGTGACTATCATCTCAGTCTAAACACTAGGAAGATCATGTGCGTAATCTTTCCAGAGTTTTCAAACGAATTTAACTCCCAATTACAAAATGCAAAGTTCAATATAGACTATACAATACAAAATATATTTCAAAATCAATCTCCTATAAAATATAATAAAAAGTTTGACACGTACAGTGTGGTTTCAAAATCAAACTCCTCGAAAATATAATACAAATGTTTGACACGTACAGTATGGCTATACTAAACACGGAACTGACAGTTTACATGCATGCACTGTAATAAGAGCTTGCATGCGTAATTCGGTGCTGTGCAGCGCCTCATGGAGTACACGCTTCCTATATATACTAAACTGCAGTAACAAACGCGTCAACGCATCACAATTGTGTATATATATGGTGTTGTTGCCTCGTTCTTTCAAAACCACGTATATATCAACAAAACCTACAAGACCAACGACAAAAGCGTTATGGCTAATTGTGCATATATAGTGTTGCCTCGTTCTTTCAACTTCGTATACAGCTATTTCAATTTGTAGGTTAAAAATTACACCATCTTCACCACCTGACAACAGCTATAACCATCCTAGTCTGGGCCACCACGCATCCAGACATGCGCTGAGTATCATGAAGTCAGAGTGCTCAAACAACCCGAAGGAGTGAGCTTTGCATTATTGCGATTGGACACCCATTAGCTCAGTATATATATATATATATATATATATATATATATATATATATATATATATATATATATATATATATATATATATATAATGAAAACTTTATTAAATGGATATATATTTAGCTTATATATAAGGGAGGGAATTATGTTGGAAGGGAGTTATTGATGTATCGAACTGTAAAGTTGAATATATTTTTCGGAAGGTTCGATTGGCACGCAGACCAAATTTTAGTGAGTTGGGACAGTGAGAACTTTGTTATATTAGTGAAGAAAGAGCCTTGACAGGTTAATTGAGTATGCAGTTTATCCTCTTGTCCAGAGCGAAAGTCCTTAAGAACTTGCTTAGTGGAGTTATATACGTCATACTGAATATTTTTGCTGTTGCTAGTTGCTTTCCAAAGATCGTTAATTGCTTCGTTTGGGGATGTTTTTAGGGCTTTACGGAGAACAGTTTGACATTGAATACATTTGACAGATGGGGGACAAATACTGAGGCCAAACTTGTTGCGGGTTAGGAAAACAGTGCTTAGCGTTCCAGATATAGGTATATCAAGCCATTTACGGATATAACTGTTTTCGGTGACCCACGTTTTCGATACGCTAGAAACTGTAAAATGCCAGGATAATTTGGACAGAAGATATCGACTGTAAAGAAGGATTTTATTTTTTGGATGTAATGGTTTGGAATCAATATCTGCCATTAGTTCTTCAACGAGTGAGATTAGTTCAGACTTGTGGTGTTCGTCTGACATATTAAAATTAAAGTATCTTCCTAAGTATTGAAAAGCCTCGCCGATATTGATCTTTGGAATTAGTTGCTTGTTAATAAGTAGTTTAGGCAAGTATTGGATTGATTTTGTTAGAGCTTTAATAATAATAATAATAATAATAATAATAATAATAATAATGGAAACTTTTTATTAGATATTTACGATATATTATATATACATTGATAAACCTCACTTAATAAAAGGTAGCTTATCGATGTCCACTTGAATTGAGTTTAAAGCTAAAATATATATACAGGTGAAAATCTTTTAAATTTAGTTAAAAGTTTAAAAGTTCTGGGTTGTTCCAGTCTTTGTTTCGTCTACAGAATATATAATACGACGTGCGAATACAAGTAGCAATTATTGTCTTTTTTACATATTTAATACATTGTTCGTCGTACTTCAGACCATGGAGCATATCAAATAAAGTATTCGTCGATTCACCAAATACACCTAAAGAGCTTAAAGATACATTAACAAACTTAACTTCATCATATATATTTTCTTGATCGGTAATTAGAGTCAAATATTTTTCATGTTTTCGATCTGAGTTAGTTTTCAGGTTTGTTTCGAATCCAACAGTTAATTCTAGAATGTACAAAATCTTATTTTCAATTGTCAATAGAAGGTCTGGTCGTAACTAGCTCGTCACCAGTGATGACAGATGGGCTAATAAATCCAGGCAGATCTACATACATTTTGGACCTTCCGACGTCGAGAAGGCTGGACGCAATGAGATTCAAAACTGAATCATGTCGCCATGTAATAATAATAATAATAATAATAATAATAATAATAATAATAATAATAATAATGAAAACTTTATTAATAGAACATTTATAGATATATACAATTGTAAATCTCACTTCTTGAGGTAACCTACAATTGACTACTTGAATCACTTATACATGCATGGTTATAATTTTATATACAAAAATTGCTACTTATTTATAGAAATAGTTACTTTAAATGTTCATTAGTTCGGGATTTGTCCATTCTTTATTTCTACAGCAAAATATGTAGTACGTTGATCGGATGGCAATAGATATAATTTTTCTGATACAATATTGTTGGTGTTGATTATCAAGTCCTAACTCATTTAGCATTTTGACGAATGTATGACATTCTTTGTCAAACACCCCTAGCGAACTGACAGAAAGATTTATAAATTTAACAAATGTAAAGTTTTGATCCAGTTCTCTAATTAGGTTTTTATATTTAGCTTTCTTGCGGTTAACATTGTTTGTGAAGTTTGATTCAAAGCCTACGGTAAGTTCAACAACGTAGAGGTGTTTGTCTGAAGTAGAGACAAGTAAATCAGGACGATATTCATCTCCCGTAATAATCGAGGGGCTTTCAAATCCAGGAAGATCAACATGTAATTTGCATTCGTTTAAACTTTGAATAATAATAATAATAATAATAATAATAATAATAATAATAATAATAATAATAATAATAATAATAATAATAATAATAATAATAATAAACTTTATTTAAAGAAGGTATTACAAAAACCAGTTTAGCATAGCTAATCTTACACTGGGCCTTCTATAACTACGACTATTAACAAACAAACAAAAATATTAGGTAACGTGGGAAAAAAATGGTATATATACAATAGATTACATATGACTACGTTTAAACTGTAAAAAGTATTGATATGTTCTTATTTTGAATGAAGCTACCGAAGAAGAGTTTCTTATCTCAAGTGGTAAATATTGTAAAGTGTTGCACCACTGCATGTATGGTAGTGCCTTTCGTCTGATTGCCAATTTATTCCTTGGTACCCACAAATCATTGTCCGCAGAACTTCTGGTGACTGGATTAGTCACTGACGACTTCAGTTGAAATATGTGTGCTGTAAGTGAGCTTCCAAACCATGTATATTTTAATAACTGTGGTATAATTAACTCGAACGATCTGTGCTACCATGGGTAGTACAAAAAACACCAGAAAATTAAATTGCGATTGATAAAGATTAAACTGCCTGAAAAATACAAGTAAAACTAAACTTCGATGTTTCCAGCGAAGGCCTATCGTCGGGAATTAAAACGAGGGGCTGATCAACTCGAGAAGGTGGGTAATCTTCGTGTTAAGCCCTTCGAGCCCTTTGAGAATGTAAAATTTCAGCAATTTTAAGAAATATATTTTTTTAAGATCCCTGTTGCTTTGCCTACAGTTTTATTCAGACAATGACATCGTGAAACGAGAGAGCTCAATAAATTCTAAACAACAAAAAATAATTGACATCGAGTTAAGCCCCCGGTGAAAAAGGGCGTGGTTGGGGCTTAACTCGAAAAGGGCTTAACTCGAAAAATACCTACCCCCTTTGGATCCGGAGAAGATTAGTTTTTTCGAGTTATTATGAGCTCCGGGGCTTAACTCGAAGTACTAAAACAACCGGCTTATGTTCATCGAGTTAAGCCCCCGGCGTAAAAGGACGTGGCAGAGGCTTAACTCAAAAGGCTTAACTCGAAAAATACCTACCCCCGTCGTGACAGGGAGACATGGACAAATACCCTTTCTGATGATCTGGAGACTCCAAATTTCAAACATTTTCTCAATGTTCCTAGTCACATACTCACATTGAACTGTAAGTAGAGGGTCCTGAAGGGGTAAAATGGGAACTGGGATTTGCTTATTTTTGGGTGGGAAAATGGGATTTCATGCACTGGGACTGGGATTCATCAGCAAAAAACAATAGAAAATGGCAATGGGATTAAGATTTGAGCAGGACAGCGACTGAGATGATGGGATTTGTGCTCTGGGACAATGGGATTTAGTCAAAATTTGGGCTGGGAAATAGGAATACGACCAGACCCTCTAAGTAACAATACTTATCTTCATTGGTAGGCAATACTAAAATATTGAAATATTGGGTAGGAAAAATCTAAAAATGCCATTTCTGCCGGTCTAGAGACTTCAAATTTTCAACACGTTTTGCTCGACACCAACCATGGTGGCGCCTCGCAGGCGTCGTAAAATCAGGTAAAAACATTAAGTTGGAAAAATTCGGGTAAATCTAACCTCGCTTCTCCCCCCCCCCCCAAAAAAAAAGACAAAGTCCTAGCAACGGTCCTGCCTGAAGTTGAACATGTATATCGATTTTTATTGTTTGCTCAGCGTGTATGTGAATTATGAATTCATATTGTTTAATAAACTAGACATAAAGGAAGAATTGTTTTAATGCTACGTGAGCAAGCGCGTTTTATTCTTTTCACAATGTCTAGTTTATTGTTTTTCCAAGTTATTCTTACGAGCAATTTTTTTTAGCTAGCAAATTTTATAACACAATAACATTCCCGGGGTTCAGAGATGCCGCGGATTTCAACCCTGGACCTCTATCAGGCTCATATCATTGGCGTTCACAGCACCCACCCAACACACTACTCAGTAGTGAGTTTGACATCAAACAACGGCGCCGACAGCAATCAAAATTTACTGATATTTTTGTATTCGATTCAAAACATACATTACTAAACTTTTAAAAGCACTTGTCGTTCTTTTAACCATGCAGAAATCCCTCAAGTATAGCAATATGAAGTGAATTCACATAAAACAAACGACTTGAACGTTTTATTCTATTGGCGTGCTCATGAACCTTAGGGGCTGATTACATGGGTCGAGTTGTCCCGCTTTGCCGAGTTGTCCCGGCTAAGCGAGTTGGCTTTTGAATTGCGATTACATGCACCGCGCTAACCCGGCTAGCCGGGCTGAAGTAGCTCATTAAGATTCGTAATGCTTAACAATTCAATACTCGGTGTTAGAAATCGATTAAAAATGGTGTATTTGTTGTATTTGAGGACTACTTTACCCACTGAATGTTGTTGGTTGAGGTATTTATACTTAGCGCTGATCCCAACAGGCTTAGGCCCGGTTTAGCCGGACGGCGAACGTTTCATGCGCCAAATCTAATTGCCGTAGATACGGCAAAATATCGGAAGCTGATTTAGACGTCGAACTTACTTGTACCGTACCAAATTGCGAGGACACTATATTGCACATATTTACAATGCAAATATATGATAATTATGTTATGATGTTAAAAAATAATTATACATTAGGTTCGGCGCATGAAAAGCACGGCGTCTAAATCAATGTCGAACCTGTGTCGCATATACGACTTGTCTTGTCGCATCTTCGAGTCATGTCGAACTTAATCAAAACCTGTCGAACTTAATTGATTTAGACGCCGCTTCAGCGTCGCACTTAATTCTTGCATTAGATTCGGCGCATGAAAAGTTCGCCGTCTAAACCAGGCCTTATACTGTTTGTATTCTAACAAAATTGTGTCGCTTCCTATCTAAACCTTGAAAACGTTCATTAATATCATTTTGATGTTATTTGAAGTTTTTTTAACTTATATTTGTACATATAATCGAAATTAAAACATGCATAAGTGTGGTTTTCAGCCCGCTTTGCCGAGCCAACTTGGCAAAAAGCGATTACATGGGATGTTCATGATGGCAATTTCTGTCCCGGCTAAGCGAGTTGACTCGGCAAGCTACAGCCGCGGTCCCGGCAAGGCGGGACAACTCGCTTTGCATGTAATCGAAATGTCAAAATAATAGACAATACATATAGGAAGCGGGTCAACTCGGCAAAGCGAATCAACTCGCTTAGCCGGGACAACTCGCCCATGTAATCGGCCCCTTAAAACGTGTAAATAACGTAGCATTTCAGGGACCGTGGAGCAGGAAGGGTCATGGGCCCCACTTTTTCGGTGGTTAAAAAATTACCGGATAAAATCCAGCCTGCAAGCTAAAATTACTGCATAAAATCCAGGCTCTTGAGGGCTATCCTGACCCCTCCCCCCCCACCCCCGCTCACTTTTACACAGGATCCGCGGGCTCTGCATTTTTAACTATGGTTGGCATTTTTGTTGCAAAATTCAACAATGCATATTTGCATTCAACTTTATACATTTTGCATGCAATTTCAACCTTGAAAAATTATATACAAGTATAAATTATATAGCTAGTAATATTCAACAACAAACACATATGTTATATACTTTATATTCAACTTCAACTGTGAACATATTCTTATCCAACACAAAAATGTTTACATTCCTATCCAAACGTTAAAACTCCTACTTTTTCAACTTCATGAAAGTGATAAATTTGTTGAAGCAGAATTATCCATTCAAGTAACATTATGACCTGTTGAATACACAGTATAAGTGCGAAAGGTATGTCCGGGAACTTAAAATTCCAGACATACTGCATCCTCGGTCCCAGGGCATACTGTTGATATTAATATGCAACAAATCCGGAACCAGTCCCCTCGATTGTTGTGCGCGCTCATATAATTCCAGTGAGCTATTACCATTTCAGGTTCGCTCATCTTTTTCTCTTCAAGATATTCGTTTAAAACCTTAATATTACAGTGGCGTAATTAACGCACATTGGGTAGGGTTAGTTCAAAAACTAAGAGCCCCCGACAGTTAGGGGCCCCCATCAGCCACAGCCTATCGCCCAGAAAATTACAAAACTTAGAAAATGCAGGTTAAGAATCAATGGGAAAATGAAAAATTAATAATGCTAAATAATTAAGCCTCCATCGACAACGGTAGCTGATTTTGTTTTTCCATCTCAAAAAACAAAAGTTATCTTATTAGTTGTTGGCATGTGTTGGAGACTGTTATTGTTATTGTTATAGAGACGGAATTTTCCAGAACATTCTATAAACATTCAATATAAATATATAATATAATATCTCACACAAACAATAACAACAGTCAACAGGGGCCCCCACACCAAATATGCCTAAGGGCCCCCTCTTCCTTCGTTACGCAACTGCTTAATTAATGATGTCTTAGTTTGTTATTCTCGTTTAGGGTTTTCCGCTTCGCTTTAATATTTCGGTACATCCTTTTCAGTTACCATACGAATATTCAGCTTAATTTAAAGCAAAACCTAGTAAAGTATCGTCCTTAAAATGTGATTATTTTATAAACATTACTATAATCAGTAATTAAGAACTCCTTCTTAGAAGAACTCCTTCTTAGCTCACTGGAATTATATGAGCGCGCACAACAATCGAGGGGACTCGAATATAATACTTGAATATAATTATTCAAGGTTGAAATTGCATGCAAAATGTATAAAGGCCATGTTACACGGTGCAATTTTTCTTGCAACTTGCAATGCAACTCTACTCTTGAGAGATGTAAAATTACCAAATACGAGTATTCATTACACTCCGCTGATGTTTTCTCAACATATCGAAAATTCTTCACAGATTTCACTAATTAACATCTCTCAAGAGTAGAATTGCATTGCAAGTTGGAAGAAAAATTGCACCATGTAACGTGGCCTTAAGTTGAATGCAAATATGCATTGTTGAAGTTGCAACAAAATGCCAACCATATTGAACAACAACGGCGTACTAGAATGCTTTTTTTTCCATTTTTTACGGCGTACTATAGAATGCTTGAAAGCAAATATAGTCGTATTGTCTTAGAGCCAAGATGCTATTGTTGATGAGCACGTTCTCGTTGCCATGTGTTTGCCAAAATCTCTAATATCTCGATAACATCTTACAATGTCCCCACACACCACTGATATACACACACACATGAGGCATGAGGTCTTGTGGAGGAGTATAGGCAGTCCCAGTGAGAGAGCAACGGAGTGTAAGGAAAAGCATAGCGAACCAGAACGATCGGTTATAAACTAAAGTACATCATATTTTATGAATATAGTATGCTCAAAATGTAAACCGGAAACCACGGTTGACAAAATATTATGCTCGAAATCGCTGGGGCTTTAAAACTGACACACGCGTTATGAGCAGCAGGGCGGATAAATACTCCCCATATAATCAGCCACAATATAGTGCACTTACAGCTTTCAATAATTTATCAGAACTGTTAAATGGCACTTAATTGCAATGAGTTATACATTAGCCGGTATATTAAAATGTCATTATCTTTCTTTACAGGTGGTATAGTATTCACAACAGGGCATTTTTTAACTATATAACTGGGGGGGCCAAAGCCCCCCCCAGCCCCCATGGTGGCCCCCTCACTCAACCATTTTGGCCCCCCCAGTCAAAGTCCCTTTTCTCTAAAATATAAGCAAAACATTGAATTTAGAAGGGAGGTTTGATATTCTAGTAACTGAAATTTGCTTTGTGAATCTTATGTCCTGTCTTTTATGTTTAATAAATACCTTATTAGATTTTTTAAATATTTCCCAGGCAGTGGATTGCATTTCCCAGACCCTATAGAGTTTGAGTTGTTCGACAAGTTAGTGACCGCAGGGGGCAACAGGCCCTCAACCATGTGTTTTATAAGGGAGGGGGGATAATTTTGGCCCCCACCAAAAAAAACAATTTGATTTCGAAACTAGAAGTATTTGAAATCATATATACATATAATCAAATATCTGTAATCGATATTTTTCCGGATAACATTTCTCGTAATAATCCATCCTGACTCGCGGATATCGACCATAGACTCACAAATCATAATGAACGAATTAATGAAAGGGCCAAACAAAAGACGTATAGAAAACTTTGAAAATGCCATTTCCGATGATTTAGAGACGCAAAATTTTCAAAATTTTTCCACTCTGTGCCAACCATGGTGGCGCTTCGTGGGAGTCGGGAACTCTAACTATCAAGCTGGCTCCCTAAGTGACGGCCAAGTTGTGGTATCTACATAAACATACTATGCAAGTACTTAACTGCAGGTTCAGTCTATCTACAGCATAATGTAATGCTGTATATCCAAAAATCTGTTTCAGAAAATGCAGGGAATTGCAGTCTTAGGGGTAGAAAAATACAAAAATTTTCAGGGGGAGAAAACCCCAGACCCTCTCCAGGGCCGTAGCAACCGCGCCCGGGGTGGGGGGGGGGGCTGGGGGCTGCAGCCCCCCAATAATTTGCTAATTATCATTCATTCTTTAAAATCATGCAGACCTTTATTATTTAATCCATGACAAACTGCAAAGAATGAAGATATTACCCATACTTTCCTGCAACTTATCCAATATATTGTTAATTAAATACACCTTCGTCCATTTAGTACTACTGAATTCTAAATTTCCACATACTAAAAACGCTGTATTCTGACAATCAGAAATCTGTCAAATCTTCCCCAAAATCCAGGAAATGGCATTTCAGAGACTCTAAATTTAAAAATTTCCTCGGGCCTTCGGCCCTCGCTTTCACCCCCTCACCCCCAAACGAAAAGAGCTTCCTACGGCCTGCTCTCCCCCCCTACTATTAAATGCGATACCACACCAAACTTTTTGTTACCAACAAACCATCTATCATTGCTCCACACTCGGTATAGTATGGTCCCTTTTTGTAGATGGCCCCCCCACTGACGAATTCTTAAAAAATGCCCTGTTCACAATACTTGACAATTATTTTCACATTAACGTTAGCAGTAATTAAAGTTGAGAAACAGCAGTCTGTTTATGTGAGAGTATGTATACAGAGTGTGATCTCCACATAACTTTCTACTAAGGTATGGCTACTACTTTTGTTTATTTAGTAGAATGTTCCACATGCATGGCCTGAGCTATACTGTATTTTATATTAAATGCTTGAGGGTAATGCAGGAATACCAGGGTTAAGGCCATGCTATAGATTCAAGTTTTTAATTTTTTTATACTTTATTTTTATGCTAGATTTTGCTTTCTTTTTTTCGGTTTTTTCATTTTTTTGGATACATGTTATCTAAAAAGTAGTTCATCTGCCGACACATAACCTGCTTTGAAGGGATGAAAAATGGAAGAAACGAGACAACATTGTTGGCAGAGTAAATCCATTCCCTGCAATGACCTGTTAGATAACATGACACTATGTCCGAAACCGCAAGTTGAAGCAAAAATTGTCTCGAGTATAACATCACATCAGCATTTATAACACATTCGCAAATGACTGTGGATATAGCATAGGCGCAGATAGAAACTCTTATTTAAATAGGGTAATCCAATCAGTTACAATGTTGACTGTTTTCTTTAGGCGGTACGAGAGGGGAAAAGGAAACGGGTGCTACAGTACGCGGCTTTAGTGTCCAACTTTAATTAACTGTCATGGCCATTGGCTTCAGCGTACAAACGTTTGCTTTTAATAGGTACAAAAGTTTTATTTTTATGTAAGCAATTTATTTATCTACATTAACTCTGTAGGGAGAACCTTAAAGCCGCGGCTGACAACTTTTAGCAGTTTTAAATTTGACATATTTTGGTTATGTAATGAACATAGAACAGTGAGAACACTATACTGTACTCAAGAATACCTGGAACGCTACCTTCATTGAAGATATATGTTTCATTTTTTCCGTAACTTCAATGAAAGTAGCGTTCCAGGTATTCTATAAGTGCGCTTTCTGCACTAGAAGAACTTTCCTGGAGTGAAAGGAAAACAGCAGGGTGATCAAGTTTCATATTTACTTCGTCTCACGATGCATCAAGTGCAAGTGTTTTTGCTGACGCTGCTGCTAGCAGTTGAATCTTTGGATTTCTGCTTCAACGATTTCCTGCAAGGTAAAGATATGCCTGTTTTAAGGTGAACGCCTTGCACTAGACATATACGAGTCTAAACCCGGTCAAATGAGAATGAGCATTGACGAGAGTTGGCATCATGAATTGTCAGGGGGGGGGGGCATTTCAAGTTCTAGATTAATTTAACAAAATCAAGGTTTGATGAGTGATTATGTTTCAACTTAAATACAGTCGAATACATGATAGTGTTGGGAAAACATTATGTTTCAACTTCAATACAGTAGAATACATGATAGTGTTGGGAAAACATTATGTTTCAACTTCAATACAGTCGAATACATGATAGTGTTGGGAAAACATTATGTTTCAACTTAAATACAGTAGAATACATGATAGTGTTGGCAAAACATTATGTTTCAACTTAAATACAGTAGAATACATGATAGTGTTGGGAAAACATTATGTTTCAACTTCAATACAGTAGAATACATGATAGTGTTGGGAAAACATTATGTTTCAACTTCAATACAGTAGAATACATGATAGTGTTGGGAAAACATTATGTTTCAACTTCAATACAGTAGAATACATGATAGTGTTGGGAAAACATTATGTTTCAACTTCAATACAGTAGAATACATGATAGTGTTGGCAAAACATTATGTTTCAACTTAAATACAGTCGAATACATGATAGTGTTGGCAAAACATTATGTTTCAACTTCAATACAGTAGAATACATGATAGTGTTGGGAAAACATTATGTTTCAACTTAAATACAGTCGAATACATGATAGTGTTGGGAAAACATTATGTTTCAACTTAAATACAGTAGAATACATGATAGTGTTGGGAAAACATTATGTTTCAACTTAAATACAGTCGAATACATGATAGTGTTGGGAAAACATTATGTTTCAACTTCAATACAGTCGAATACATGATAGTGTTGGGAAAACATTATGTTTCAACTTAAATACAGTCGAATACATGATAGTGTTGGCAAAACATTATGTTTCAACTTAAATACAGTAGAATACATGATAGTGTTGGGAAAACATTATGTTTCAACTTCAATACAGTAGAATACATGATAGTGTTGGGAAAACATTATGTTTCAACTTCAATACAGTAGAATACATGATAGTGTTGGGAAAACATTATGTTTCAACTTCAATACAGTAGAATACATGATAGTGTTGGGAAAACATTAAGAACAGATAACCAAGGTGACGTAACTCTCTTTCACGCTCGTCCTCGTTTCATCCGAGCTTTGCACGGTCGGTGTTGGTAGAGAGAAACAGCTGCAGTATGAATGATGTGCAACTACATGAAAAATATATACAGAACCTCGACGTTTCGAGCGAAGGAAGTTTTGGTTGTTCATAACAGTCCTAAGCTGCGTGCTTTGTGTCTGACTACTTGAAAAAGACTAAACGCGTCTCGGGCAAAGTTCTTAGCTTCGTCAGCCTGACATAGACTGACAATTTTGTGTGTGTGTGTGTGTGTGTGTGTTGTTGTTGTTGTCAAGGTGAAGTCACTAACACTGTGGTTAGAGCATGCGCTTTTAACTTGTGCGGCAAAGACTGACTTGAAGTAACAGGTTGTCATCCATGCAGTATAAATAAAGTTCTTTCATGTAATGAAATTTGAGATAATTCACTAGTTTAGTTTTAAGTTTATTTACTTTCTTATCTAGGTTCCCGACTCAACAGCACAGTTTTAAAAAAGGTGGATGTTTCTACCAAGATAGAATGTGTAGTGTCATGTGTGCAGGAGCCATGTTGCAGATCTATAAACTACCGGAAAAGATTACCACAAGGTCTCACCAGTCTCTGTGAGATGTTGCACGATGTCGTGTACAGTGGTACTTCACCAGAGTTGAAGAAGAACCGCTTTTACGATTATATTTACTTTAATGAACCGCGAAAGGTAACTCAATAAAATTACTGGAGGATCACCTGTTTCCTCCTATATAATAAACGTTAAGGAATTCATTTAACGCCAAAAAATAATTTCGTTTTACGCAGGATTATATTAGCAGTTGCATTACTGATAAAGGTATGTTTAAAAATGTATAAAGGTGATGTTGTGATTGTTTTCAGATATTTAAAGCGAGCAGTGCAAATTTAGCGAGATAGATATGAGCCTCTTTCTTGTGCTTTTTTACTTCTATATCTTTTTACTGGTTAACTTAGTAGATACGATGACTCCAGAATTTGATCTGACGTTTCCAGCGAAGAACATTCAGAACTATATATTACTTGACAACTATGTGCCCGAAATGTCTACTGTGACTTTGATGTTCTGGATAAATACGTTACAAGCAGGAACAATGTGCGTGGTATCCTATGCTGTGAAGAAACGCGCTGCAGAATTGAAAGTTTCGGTGGGGAGAAGTAAATTAATTCTCAGGATTCAGTCATTCAAATCTTGGTAAGTAAAACAATACTTTCTTTTATTGAAAAATGAGAACTTATTGCTGAGACTGGAGTTCGATTCTTGAATATATGCAGTATGTACGCAGGGGCCGGTTGTTCCAAGCTGATTTATCGCTGCTGAATAACAGATTATGTTATCGAATACGAATGAATATAACTGGTAGCCTAAATAGAAAGTCTATGAAGATTTCTAGCAGGTCTCTGACCCAAAATCTTTAAAATCATTGTAATGTATCATAAATAAATGTATTGCCATTGGGAAAAATAATTTTAAAAAATATCAGCATGTTTACGGTGACTATAAAATATACTAGTTTCCAATTTACTTTATAACCACGGTTTTATAGCAGTTAACGAGAGAGACATATTAGGGCCATTTATACGGAACAAAATAAGACGCGACTTACATAAGACGCGACTTAAATAAGACGCGAGTTTGTCGTATAAAAGGTACAAAATTCTTATGTAAGACGCGTCTTGGATAAAACGCGTCTAACATGAGGACAGGCCTTTTAGCTGTTCTTATCTAAGTCGCGTCTTAAATAAGAAATTTTGGACAAAAAGTCTAACTACACATGCCAGAAACTTGCAACAACGTAAAATTATTAGCCTTGCATATTAAAACAAAAACAAACAAAACAACATTATAGCTATAGCAAATAAATAAGACCAAAGCCGTAGAGAACCATTTATGCGATAACTCCGCTTATTTAAGTCTCGTTTTATGTAAGTCGCGACTTATTTTGTCACGTATAAATGGCCCTAATGTGTGTTGCTTCAGCTGATAATTTTATTTCGGTACGTAAAACGTAGTTATTTGCAATATATATTTAATTAAAAATTTAATAATGATAATAATTTTCTGCTACGGCCTTAATTAATGTTAGGCTATATAGCAAGTAAAATTTGAGAGGAATCGGGAAGTGAATTAGTCTCGGGTGGAATACCCGCGAACAGGCTGCGAGGGAGACTAGGAGTGAATGAGTAAAAAGAAGGAATCAAAATAAATCAGGAGATAAAGAAAATACTACATGTTTATCCTGCAGGAATACTGTACGTATACCCACAAGAGGTGGACCTTGTTGGACATGTATAGGAAGAACAATTGAGAACCGATAGAACTATTTATCCTGTTTAAATTAAATAAGTTTATTTTTAGCGACACGCTAACCGCAGCATTTTTGTTTCAGGAAATTTCCAGTTCCACCAATAAATCCATGTATGTCTGTCCATCCTAGCAGGAGCATTTCTTAATTCAAGCTCGGTCTCCAACTTGCTCGTAACCAGTGGTGGACACTAGGGAAGGGGGGGGGGGAGGAAACTGAGGGCAACAATGTGGGTCCCACACATTCTATCGTCTGCTAATATTTTAAATTTTCTATAGATACTGAGTATGATATCATTATCGCACCATCAACTAAGGATTTTATCTATATCGAAGCATCAGAAAACATTCCAAGTCTCCAGGCGGTTACTATCACACTGTGGGTAAAACGTTCATATGAGAGATTTATGAGATACGTTTACTATTACTTGAAACCCAGGGAAACCTTACTGTCATTTTACATTGATGACGATGTATTCAATCTGGGAATAGCAGGTGCTTCTGTAACGTAAGTTGCTGCCATGTTGCTATTTATGGGCAATGCTTACCACGTAACGGACTGGACTTGGCTAACTTTAAATGTATTTATACTTGATAGCTTTACTGCTTCCAGGGCGCTTCTCACTTGTTCTTCCTAGAACTCCGGTAAATCGTCCAGTGTGACTACAGAAGGAAACCTAGACTCAATTAACTTTGTACTTGATAGTATTATCAGTTCCAATTAATTTATCTTTGAGCTGCATTAAGAATTTCCATTATTGGTCCATAAAATATAAATCAGAAATGCCACGTACGAGGACAGAGGTCGCACGCTCTTTATATTAAGTTGACGTACGTTTAATCGATGTTGACGCACGAACTGTACGATTTTGTATACTAGTTTTCGCATCAAAATTCCCGTATAGAAATGCGTTTGAAATGCTGGATTTAAACGACGTAACAAAGATGCGGTCCTGGATTCGAGCAGTGAACTCGGTGTTTCTGGATCAATGTTTCATGTTTGATTGTTATAAATATATGGATATTTCAGAATCAGGGTTAGAGGCGAATGTTTGTTCATTGTCTGAAGGATTTTAAGGCAAACAGAAAGAAGTAACGGTTCAGCTCTGCTGCAGGAAGTGTACGCGATCGTACTTGTCTGAAATTCTTGGGATACGCTAAGCTAATTTCGGCGTGCAATCGTACGTCCGTACACCTATTTTTTAAGCCCTGAGGAGTCCCGAGTGAAACAACTGAGTATTTGGTAAGGGAACTGAAGGCAACCTGTCACATGCTATTGAGGTGAAGTTATAATTTAACAACTGTGTATTGCAAGAATCAAAGCTTGGTTACAAAAGTGTAAGACATATTCACTAACATATGTGTAAAGGCTAATTTCCACTCAGGAAAATTATCCGTGGATTGGAACGGACAAGAAAATTTTTCTTTGTCTTGTGAGCTCTGGGTTGAAACTAATGACTTCAACACAAAGAAAAATTTTCTTGTTCGTTCCAATCCACGGATAATTTTCCTGAGTGGAAATTAGCCTTTACCTCCAAGAAACATGCCACTAAGAAGTGTGCTATCGTCCTATCCCTTAAAAAAATAGGAAAGCAATGGTTCCAACGTACAAGGATGAATACTGGCACCATATTGCTACCACATGGTCAAGTGAGACTGGTCACTGGAAAATTTATCTGGATGGTTCATTGGTCTCTATCGTGCATGGTGTGGCTTCTGGGATCACAATTCCTGCAGGAGGACAATTATTATTGGGTGAGAGTAATTTTTAACATTTTACATTCATTTTATAACTATTCATGGGAATAATACATTTCTCTAGGTCCAGTTATATTTTGGCCACATGATAGCAGTCTGAGCAGACTCAACATATGGAACTATGAAGTTGATGGACATGCTTTATCATTAATGGCAAACAAAGGACCAACGTTTGAAAATGGCAATGTATTTGCTTGGTACGGAGTAAAGTCAAAGAGTATGGGAGACATGACAACTTTTCAAGAGGCACCGAGTGATCTACGGAATAGTCGTAAGTAAAACCATGGAAGAAAGGGTTGCAGGGCCGTCGGAAGCGGGGGGAGGGGGGCTATTGCAGTGGCCAGCACTTCGCGATTGGGGTAGCCTGCGAACAGGCGTTTATTCAGGTGGGCGTAAACGCCTGTTCGCAGGCCACAATTGGGGGAATTTATTTGTATAACTATTTTTGCCCTAAATTTCTTGCAACAAACATGAATTACACACTTATTCAACTATTATTCAAAGGCTTCTAAAAAATTATTGGGTGAGGGATTGTCCCCTGCCTCCCCCCTTCTAGTGTCCGCCACTGTTAAGTTGTGTTGAATTGAGTTGTGTTGTGTTGCATTGTGTTGTGTTGAGTCGTGTTGCATTGTGTTGTGTTGTGTTGTGTTGTTGTTGTGTAGTGTCATGTTTTGTTTTATATCCTATTCTTATATATTTTTCAATTTTAACCTTTTATCAACACATATATATCTCACATATCGTTGTACTAGGATCACATTCAGTTCATCAGATGAATTTTCGAGAGGCTTCGCCCACAAACTACGCCAAGGTGGAAAATGTCTTTCCCAGCCTCACAATAACAGTACTTACCGCTTGTTTCTGGGCGAAAATTTTGAAGACGGATTGTGGCATATTTACCTACTCGACATCGGCTAACAACGACGAGATGGCAGCTTATTTTTATCTCAATCGCACGTTGGACCTTATTATCAAGAGCGAAAGGAGAGATCCAGGGTTCGTTTAAATTATTGATCGATTAGCGAAGTATTTATAGTTTTAAAACTTCCTTAGCCAGAATTTTTGTAAGCGCCGTTTAGAATTGATAGAAGAAGCCAGTATTTGTAAAACTTGCTTGATGATTTCTCCACTGTGCCTGGAATTTCGGCAATGACGTGAAAAGTTGCCATAGAGCGCAGCAGCTCTCTGTGCTTCCGTAATGAAATTGGACCAGTGCACCACCTTCTGTAGTAGCACACCTAAGCAATAACAGACGATCCTCACTGAACGGTTTAGAACTGTTAGAACTATCCACTTGAAATTCGTAGATGTGTTTGATATGCATTGTAAATGCTCGTTTACACTTGTAATTTTTGCTGCGTGTTTCTATTTCGCATTTCTACAGCGCAAATTTACACGTGGATATGATTAAATGTGCTGTATTTAACTAATTACGTACCTAGCCTATAGAATATTTTATCTTTACAACAATTGTGATATTACTTTCTTAACTGTGTTTATCCCAACCCACTCTGTCAACTTTCCCTGTGGGAGGAAACCGGAGCACCCGGAGAAAACTCACGACTTTCAGCAGAGCGTTGACTCACTCTTTTCGAACCCACGAACTCAGAGGTGAAAGCGCTTGCTGTGACTGGCCCACCAAAGCCCCAGATGCTGACTCGTCCCCAGTCGTCTCTGTGAGCACGTGCGAATTGGAAAGCGCGCGCAGGGGTGGAAGGGAAGGGAGAACGTGCCCGTTTCGCGCGTCCTCACAGAGACGACTGGGGACGAGTCAGCCCCAGATGGGGTAACACATCATCAGAACATTCATAACTCATCTCAAATGTCTCACATATTTAATATACATTTTAGACCGTTGATCTCAGCGCCTGAATCATGGCATTTATACTGTATGCAGTGGAGAAATTCAGATGGTTTAGTCCAGACGTTTCAAGATGCCATTAAACTAGAAATGGGATACAAAGCGGTGGGGCATATTATACCCTCCAACGGTATTATGGTGCTTGGCCAGCAACGGGCATTTAAAGGAAGTCTGGCGGGATTAAATTTCTGGACATATTTCTTGACTATTAATACAATCCAAGGAATGGCGGCAGGAATTATTAATGTGAATGGAAATTTACTACAATGGAGAGATTTCAGGACTGAACATGTATTTGGTGACGTGTCTATAGTGGAAAGGTCTGAAGCAGAGATACCAGGTATTTGACAAGGCAATTCTAAAGAGTCGTAATCTTAAATGTCACTTATCAAAGTATGGATTTACTAGAAATACATGCATGCAATATATGGCAATACCCCTTGCTTATATTTTCCAAACATTGATTTAACATGAAGTATTAATTGGCGTTGGGCGTCAAGTGTTGATATGGCATTAGCACGATAATTTTAAAATTTATAATCCAGTATTTTTTGTACAAAACGACAAAAATAGTTAAAAGATTAGTACTTCAAACTATACAACAGTGAATTTCCATTTTGTGAGCTTTGATTTAATGTGAAATTTAGCCTGAAATGCTTCGTAAAATGTTTTGAAATGTTCATTCAACCAAACTGCTTTTGCCGATAAACCGTTTTTATTAATACTAACATCTTATTAACCGAAATATCTGACCGAGGTCTTTTTTGTACAGACCGAGGTTTGTACAAAAAGACCGAGGTGGTTAATTAAAAAAGTTTATTATATGGCATTTATACTAAGCATTTGTACTTGAAACAAACAAGAAATGCATGATTTGAAATCGGCATATTACTTATTAGTAGCGTGGTACACATTTGGTCGAAGAAAATAAAAAATACCAATGTATTCCTTCTTTTCCACTAAAAACCATTCGCAGATATCTTATTTAATAACAATTATTTAAATCATAATTTTCAAATCTTCAATTAGTTTTGCTGTTTTGTTTTTTAAAATGCATGCATTTGTTTTTACGTAATGACCGCTGGCCATTACGGGAAAATAATGGACCGCTGAAAGTGTAGCCTGCGCGCAGACTATATAATGACATAATTATATAGTCTGCGAATCCGTGGCATGCATGAAGCTTGTATGGTCACGTGGATTTCCCGAGAAAAATTGGGACGAATTGTGATTGGTTGAACTATAATTATGCAGAATTAATGTTAATTCATCGGACATTGCGTTCACAACGCGCGTTGGGCTGTTCAAAATTGACCGTTTCCAGGGTCAAATGACAATGTTTATTACAGTTGTATTTATAGAAGTGTGGCGGATAAACAAGAAAGGCCGTTGTTTTCAAAACGGAAAGCCCATTTCGCCAAACAGAAGATGTAATATTATAGACGAAATCGAATTTAAGGGAGGCAATAAAGATATACAGGTATTACAGCTATTCGAGATTTTACAACCATTTGAGACTTCAAACTTATTCGCTATCAGTAAATCAACAAAACTCCCCATGAAAATACCTGTATCTGTATTGCCTACCTTAAATTTGATTTCGTCTATAATATTACATCTTCTGTTTGGCGAAATGGGCTTTCCGTTTTGAAAACAACGGCCTTTCTTGTTTATCCGCCATACTTCTATAAATACAACTGTAATAAACATAAAACATTGTCATTTGACCCTGGAAACGGTCAATTTTGAACAGCCCAACGCGCGTTGCGAACGCAATGTCCGATGATTAACATTAATTCTGCATAATTATAGTTCAACCAATCACAATTCGTCCCAACTTTTCTCGGGAAATCCACGTGACCATACAAGCTTCATGCCACGGATTCTCAGACTATATATGTCATTATATAGTCTGCGCGCAGGCTACTGAAAGTGCTTCTCAGCGCCAATCACAGTCTGCCATTTCACCGGAAGTGATGCTTGCCATAATAAAACAAGTTAATATGGTCCAACTGTTGAGTAATTTCAGTTCGATCTTCAAATTAATTTGCTCTCCCTTACATTTTAAATTTTTATCTTAAATTAAACGGAGTAATTTACTAATTTAGGAAATTTACAGCTCCATTGAAAAGGAAAGAAGTGCATGTTTTAGGCATTAATGATTCAAGCACGTTAATCTTTTTCACCCGCCCCCAGTTGCGTCGTTCCTGTGAGAACGATGGCAAGAAATTTCATATTTTCGGTTCAGTGTTTGCTATGAAGACCGCAATACCACCATTCGATTCAGAATTAAAAGATTCAACTAATTCCTCCGTATAGTTATAGTCATTATCAACATTGTAGCGATTTATAGGCCTTTGAAAGTCAAACACGATCATATTGTATCAAATTACGCAATTGTCTGAACAAAAATATACACTAGCCATACCTTTCGCCGAAAATAACTTCGGCCCCTTCGAACATATCGTCTTTGTAATAGTCTTGTTCGAATCCCAAATTTATTTGTTTAAACATAAACCAATTTAAGTATTTACATAGCGCTAATTTTCCATGAGAAAATTGTTCGATAGTCGTTCTTGACAAATTGTTCTTGAACAGTCCTCGCATAACATTAGTTACAGTCAATTTCAGCTGACTTTTCATCGTAAGATTCCGAACTTCGTTCCGAACTTCGCAAATTCGTTGCCAAGTTCAAAAGTTCATAATGAAATTCACAAACAGGTTTGTAAACAAAGCCTCTGATTGATTGTGTAGTGTTGG